ATGCTAACTCTCGCGCTATCTGGTTATTCTTGCCTCTGAAGGATTCTAACTTGAVCTTCGGAGCCCTTAYGCYGGGTTCTCCCCGGAGCTTCTCTTCTCCCATTTCAGGTTCCTGTTACTCACTCCAGAGGCAAGATCGTCAACAGCTAAGACCGGCCAGATTGTGCATCATCACATTTAAGTTTATTTTTAATCATATTGTTACCTTTGTTAATTTTCAATTTCTATCTTAATTATGATATATATAAAATTCAATTAATTAATATGAAGAAAAATTTTCACTTGTAATGCATGTGAAAGGAGTGCAAATGCAATTAAACATGTGTATTGATCAGTTTGGAAGGAGTAGAAATGCAAATATTTAGAGTGGAAAACATTGTATTTTGCATTATYTTGTATAAATTTAATTATAATGTATATATTTGTATTTTTACAAATATAAATATTTAGAATGCAAAATGTTGTATTTTGTATTATTTTATACTCTTTCGAAACTGAGCCTTAGGCTAGGCTCAGTTTGGAAGGAGTACAAAAACAAATATGTAGAGTGCAAAAGTTTGTATTTTATATTATTTTGTATGTATTTATACTGTACATAATTGTATTTGTACTCCTTYCAAACTGAGCTTTGACAGCATTCCAAAATAAGGGTAAAATGGAAAGGATAAACAAGCTTCTGGAATCTGCCTCATTCAAATTCTATAAACAGTGGTTCTATACCCATTTTTAAGGGACTTTTACCCATTACACATTTCASTCCCATTATGGAGAGAGGGGAAAATCCACTTCATCTCTCTCTCTCTCTTTCCATTAGTTCCCCACCGCCATTACAATGTTCTTACAAAAGGATTTTGATTTGAAAATAGAAAACAAATGCACACTACCTAAGAGCATTATGTCTTTTGTGATTTTGTTTTGAGAAGCAATCTGTTGTGAAACAATAAGGTTTTAATTTATTTTAGAACCGAAAGTAAGAAAATCAATTCACGTTATCTAACACATCTTAAATTGTCGGAAATTCAAGTTGTGATATAAGTAACTAATTGTGCGGAAATTCATTTTGTTCATTTTTAAAATCATTTTTAATTCATTTTATTAGTAGCATAATGTTTTGATATTATAGGTCACGTGGGGTCATATGTGCATAAATCGTAACGGATGCTAACGACAGGGGTAGAATTAGTCAATTGTCAGAAACAATAAGAATAGTGTTAATCAACTTTTAAACAATAAGGGTACACTTAGTCAAATAAGATAGTTTAAGAAATTTACCTTTAATTCAATTTACTTATACCATTCAACATCCAATTGCAATCCGAATTCCTTTCAATCCGATATAAATACAATGGATAAAATCCGACTCGAATTCAGCTATAAACGAATAAAATTTGGATCCACCTATATCGTATTCGATTTGATCCGTTTGCAGCTCTACGGGTATACGAATATATGATATGACTTCCAAGATACCATCCTCCCTTGGTTAGAAGGAACACTTTCAGAATACTTTGCATGATTCTTCATTCATCCTTTCCTTTGTATTTGTTAGAACACAGAATCGCTTTCTGCAACTCCAAAAGCCAATATTCTTTTCCCTCCTCTCTTCCAAGCTTTATATATGTGTTTGTTTGCTTCGATTATCTTCATCTTTTGCGTTGTTTCCACAAACATACACAAATCCAGGAACCAAAAATCAAAACCCCATTTCCATTTGGAAGCCAGCAACCATGTCTCTCAGCCCTCCTCGTGTAAGAGTCAATGGCATCAGGAGCTACCGTCTCTACTGGTGTTTCCAGTGCCAGCGAACAGTCAGGATTGCCGCTTCAAACCCATCTGAGATTTTCTGCCCCCGTTGTTCTGGCCAGTTCATCCTTGAGCTCGAAGAGGCCAGGCCCAGAGTTGTTCTTGACTTCACAGGTCTAGATCCCTCCCCGGAGGCCCGGTTGTTGGAAGCCCTTTCTCTCATGCTTAACCCCCCATTGCCTCGACGATTTCAGGATTCCGATGAAGTTGGCGATCCGCTCAGTCCTTGGGTTATATTCCGACCAACTAACCGTCGCCGTCGGACTAGAACCATGTCTCCTCCGGAAATTCGCATGCCCTGGGCTGCTAACCCCAGGGACTACTTTCATGGGTCAGGGCTGGATGAGCTGATTGAGGAGCTAACACAGAATGACCGACCAGGTCCACCTCCGGCACCAACTTCAGCCATTGATGCCCTGCCAAAAGTGAGGATCACAGAGGCCCATTTGAAGAATGACTCAAATTGTCCTGTTTGCAAGGAGGGATTTGGGATTGGCGAGGAAGTAAGGGAGATGCCGTGCAAGCATGTCTACCATTCTGACTGCATTGTTCCCTGGTTGCGAATTCACAATTCTTGCCCAGTTTGCCGGCATGAGCTGCAGCCTTCCTCTACCAATGATCATCATAATGAAGATGTCGAGGATTCTCATACAGAGGGCGCGCGCGATAGGAACCGCCACCGCCGGAGGTGGAATTGGTTCTTACCTTTTCAATCATCAGCAAACAGGAGAAGCCGTCACGATCATCCTTGGGAGACATGACAGCATTACCGCTAGAGTTATCTTCAAATCAAGTGGATATTTCGGGTCTCAGTTTCAGTTCTGGATATGGAATTGCACCCTGAGATATGTCCTGGCATTACTTTCTGATATATGAAATATTTAATCAGAGCTGATACCTGTAAAATTATTTGGAAAACTAAACTAAAAGGATCATTACTATCTGAAATATGAAATATTTATTCCCTCGTGTGAATTATATATCTCTGTAGGTAAGGGAGGTCTTAATTTCTTTTTTCACAGTAGCATTTTGGAACACGAAATACACCATAAATATTGCTGCTACTTCCATGCTTTTCTTTCATTTAACTTTTCATGGGCATTATTCTTTTGCTCATGTGGCTTTTATTTTGGCTTTTAAAAAACAAAACCATTCACATTGGTTTCTTAAAACTAAAGAAAAAACACATTAGCAAATGCTCTCTGAAATAAAGGTTTTCCAAACAAAAAGAAAACAAACTCTGAAGTATAAAAGTTATATAATTTGTGAAACATGATATTAGACAATTAGATAATAACATGTTTTCTAAACAAGAAAATTCAAGAGTACATTTTCAGTTTCTGTTGTACAAATAAAAAATACATATATAACCAATCAAGAACATGTCTTCTTTGTTTTTGTTTTAAGAACAAATTTGTTTTTAAACCTGATGTTTTGTAAGGGGTATTGGACAATTTGTTTTTGTTTCAAGAACCAATTTATTTTTAAACCTTCATGTTTTGTAAGGGGTATTGGACAACATCATTGCTTATATAATTTTATTTTTTATAACAAAAACAATAATCACATTAGCAATGTTGATGTTGTTGATCTTTGACTGTTTTTTTTTTTTTTTTTTCAAAAACAAAACAAACCAAACCATGTTATGGAACATCCCTTTAAATTGGAGAACACCTTAGTGGACTTTTCTAGTGGCCACCAGATCCATCCGTTGGCAGAAACAAGTAACTTCATTACAGTTTTTGGAAATTATTGATAAATCTGCTATTTTTTTTATTCAATAGCGAGGACCCCGTGTATCGTTAATCAAGAATGAAACAATCAAAACTTATAAACAAATTAATTAAAAGAATCAAAAGACTGATCTAATCAATTTGTTAAAATAGTAAAATAAATTATAATAAGAATGGCTAAAACAAAGTCAATTACATAGTTTATGGAAATAATCATAAATAATATCACGGAAAAAAAAAGTTAATGAAGTTCATTAATGTTTACATAAAAGAAAATGTCAATTAAGCTCAACATTATTAAAATAATGTTGAACCACTCTAACTGCTTCATCACTATTATTGAGCCTACAACAAAAAAATTGTAATCATTATTTTAAAAAATATAAATTAAATTATTATTATTATTCTTAAACCCGTAATGTGCACGGGTTTGAGTCGTATTCTGCACGGGTCCAGTTGACCCATACCGTGCATGAAGTGGATCAGTTGGACTTGTCTCTTCACATTTGGGTTTACCGAACAGACCCATTTTCATCATCTTCTTCGCCTAGACTTTCATACGGGTCCTATCGATCTGATTAGTTTCTAAGCCATTTTTTATTCTCATTACTTTTTTTTTTTATTTCCATTTTTTCACAATAAAGAAGAGGTTTGGCTTCCTACCTGGTGTTTGGAAGCGTTTGAAACTGTAGAGTTATTATCTTTATTCATTCTTTTATTCATTATTTTCCTTTATTCTCTTTTATCCTTTACTAGTTGAGCTGGCAATATTCCTTTAGTTTTCTTTTCTGTCAAGTTTGTTATTTACTTAGGGATTATTCTTGTATATAAACACTGCTTTTTTAACCTTTTCGGGTGTAGAGAATATACTGAAATTCTCTCCATTTTCTTCTTGCTTTCACTTTTGCTCATGGTATCAGAGCATCAAGATCTGGTGCCTGAGTTTTTCTTTTGATTGATTAAAGAAATCTCTTATTAATGCTATGGAAGAAGAGGTGGATACCTCTGTTACTCGAAATGGTCGAAATACGACTGGCCCTGGAGCTGTTGCAGAGATTACGAAAGAGTTAGCCTACAACTCGAACGGAGATCCTTTCTTCTTGCACAGTTCGGATCATCCTGGAATGATGCTAGTTACAACACCATTAACTGGAAAGAACTACCTCACTTGGAGCAGATCTATGAAGATAGCTCTGGGTGCGAAGCTGAAGCTGGGTTTCGTAGATGGAAGGATTGCTCAGGCAGATGAAGGAACAACAAAGTTTGATCTATGGATAAGGGTGAACTACATGGTAACTTCCTGGATCCTTAACTCAATCTCAAAAGAAATAGTAGATGCTTTTCTATATACTACTACAGCTAAGGAACTCTAGGATGAAATTGCTGAAAGATTTGGTGAAAGTAATGGGCCTTTACTGCATCAAATCTAAAGAGATATAAGTTCAATATCTCAAGGGAATGAATCGGTAGCTAAGTATTATGCTAGACTTAAAAGGTTGTGGGACGAATTGACTTGTTTAATGCCTATTCCACCTTGTACCTGTGGTTTTGCTAAGGCAGTTGCCGATTTGCATTCATTCAATAGATTAATGCAATTTCTGATGGGTTTAAATGGCTGTTATGATAATATAAGGAGTCAAATCCTTGTAATGGAACCCTTACCCTCTGTGAAACRTGTTTATTCCTTGGTTCTCAGAGTTGAGAAATAGAGAGAAGTACACATAGCTTTTAATGAAAACATAGACTCTACTGGGTTATTTTCTAAAACCCAAAACACCAATCAACCATACAGAAGGGATGGAACTAATAAGGGAAATACTAAGAAGATAGACATGGGTAGGAAGGATAGGGATAGCAAATATTGTGATCATTGCAATGTGAAGGGACATGTAAAGGAGACTTGCTTCAAGCTCCATGGATACCCAGAATGGTATAAGGAGCTTAAGGAGCAACAGAAAAAATCAGGAAACAGAACAATGTATGGTAGAAACTTCTTTTGATTTTGGAACTGAAGAGAAGCTTGATGGGAAAACTGATAAGAAAGTGGATTTGGCTAATATGGTGCAACAAGAAGTTCTGAAGCTGATGAAAGGGAAGATGACTATGGAAGGAAGCCATGTCAATTTTGCCAACCTGGACAACTATGCAAGTAATTCCTTCAATATTGAATGTGCTGTAAGTTTTGCATTGAGTATTATTGACTTATTGAAGCCTGGTACTTGGATAATTGACATAGGGGCTTCAAACCTCATGTGTGGAAATAAATCCCTTTTTGATAAGCCTAGACCCACTAAACATCCATTACCTGTTTGCTTACCAGATGGATCCATTAAATTTGTTCATAACATTGGAAATATTCATTTTTCAACTGATATTTGTTTGAAAGATGCCTTGCACATTCGTAATTTTAAATTCAACCTCTTATCAGTAAATAAACTTGTTAAGTCTGGCCAAATAAAATTCACATTCATATCAAACCATTGTCTGCTGTAGGACAGAAAGGATTCTGGCAGTAGGGAAACTACTAGGACGCTTATACATCTTAGACAACGCTTGTCTTAAGAAATTCAGATGTAATAAAGAGCCAAACAGTGATACATTGTTTTCGAATTTCAAGAATACTTTATTACCTTGTAATAAAGAGATCGAAAGCAAATTCAACAGTAATGAAAAGAAGGATAAAGAGAAAGAAAAGGTGAAAAAGAAGAAGAAGAAATGGTCTTGCATTAATAACTGCGGCTGGTTTATTGGCTGCATCTGCTCGGTTTGGTGGTTTCTACTATGTCTAGCTATAATGCCATGTATGTCACCGAACCCATTACCGGGGGCCATTGCCTGTTCAGCCCGACATGAAATTGCAGAAAGAGGGGTTGAGGGCGAAGCACCCGGTGGGCCAGGTTTTTCAATTGTCCCCTAGTTTTTTTAAGAGACGCAAAAATCTTTGGATCCTAACCAATTATATGTTATTTTTATGCAAATTGTGAAAATTTCAGATTGTTTCCTTTTTAAGGTGTATCATTGTCAGGTTTGATGAATTATAACATAAGACCCAACTATCATCGAATGAAAATGGAAATATATATATATATATATATATATATATATATATATATATATAGTTTTGATGACATCTGAAGCACAACTTTGCTTTCAATTATTTAAAGTTAGTCAAATGGAATGATGAACTTGCGTTTTCTTTTCCCTTTTTCTATAGTGGGTAATCCAGATATAATCTAGGCTACTTTCCTCACATATCCTCCATAATTTCGGACTATGATGATTTGGCCCATTAGTCATGCTAATGTTCTGCATTCTTTGTTCCTTTGCGTTTTGATTATATTGGCTGATCTAGACAAGCAACGCTTAACAGTACATATGTGAACTGACTGCTTAGAAAATTTCCTTGCACTGTGTTTGTTAGGATCATCAACAGACCTTTATGTTGGGTTGAGCACATGTCATTGGACAACTGTGAATTCTTCAATATTGTTAAACTAAAAAAATTAAGCAGAGGGAGTAAAACAATAATTGAAAGGAGAGATGAAAGCATTGTTCAAGATCCTCAATTTTCTCTCTGTTCAGCGTCCTCCAAATCTCCCTCACTTTCTCTCTCTAAAGCATAAACTTGGCCCATTCAGGAAACCTCTCAATGAAAAATACATATTTCACCAAAGAAGTAAAATTGTGTGGCCCAACCTTCTATAAAATAAAAGAATGGAGATAGGAGGATTATTTGTTTCGGAGTGAGGTATGAAACAAGATGATGTTGTCCCCACTTTATGTAAAAATGTAAAAATTTTCTACCAAATCATAATTACAAACAAACAGATGTGAATTTGAACTGGGTGCAAATTTTGTATCAGGTTCAGATTTGCATTGCAAACAAATGCGGCACGTACCCGGCTTTGGTGTATAGCATGGTTTTTAAAACTGGACCGGACCAGATGGTTAGACATAAAAACTGGGAACCGGTCACCGTTCTGTTTTTCCCCAAAATCATTAATTTTGGTGAACAAACCGCTGAATCCGCCAATTAATTGTTCGAACAGTTTTGACCATTTTTCAATCTTTTAATTTTTTTTATTTTTTTATTATTTTTGTCAGAATGAGCTGACCGTTCAAATCGACCTGATAACTGGATCCCTAATCGGTTCGGTCACCTGTCGGTTTTAAAAACCATGGTGTATAGCACTCTACCACTCTCAA